ATGTGATGTATTATATTTAATTGAGATTTACATTAGTCTTAAATATTTTGTAGCTCCCTCTTCTAAATTTTTTATGGAAAATCTATTTGAAAACTAATCTTTTAATTAATATTTTCAAAAACCAACTATTGAATTGAAAGTTCTATTCATCTTATTTACACAAATTATACATGTCAAATTTTAAATTGTTTTAGTAAACTTAATTACTTCGTTGATTCTAAGAAATTTAATATCATTAAATATATGTCAATAAATAGAATTTTTTAATCAAAGGGTTATAAAGGTTAAATTAATATAAAAATTGATATATATATAGGAAATAATGCCTATCAGCCTTACCTCTTAAAGATTAAAAGGAAAATCATCAAAAAAACTACATCATTTCAATAAATTTTTATTAAAAAAGACTAAACTACCATATTTTTAAAACATGCATTAAGGTGATTTTTATCTTTTTTCCTCTTAATTTTTTGGAAGTAAGGCGGACAAGCGCTAACCCCATATATATAATTTATATAAATAAAACTTTTAATTCAACATTTAATTTTTGAAAATATTAATTAAAAAGTAAATTTTTAGACAAATTCTCTAAAAATTTTTTAGAAAAACAATGTGTGGTATACTTTCCTCTCTTTACATTATATCACATTTATTTTATAATTGTTTCAAAGCTAAGATACCTTAATTTTCATTTTCCCTTAAATAAATCCACACTTTTAGGGGTGGTAGGGAAGGTGTAAATATAAATTTATCAATAATGTTATAATTATAATATTATATAAAATTATAAGGTCACAATCATGTATATAATTAAATAAATAGATGTATATAATATCGTATATAATATCACAAGAAGATTTCTAAATAAAAATAATTAATCATATCATAACGTATCATAATTATAAACTCATAATGTCATATAATATTATAACTACTCATTTCAATCAAATTTAGTAGTTTTAATTTAATTTTTTGATCTTTTGATTTTTTAAATATAAATTTCAGACAAAAGTTTAACAACTTATATAAATAATAATTAAATTTTTTTTTCTCAATTTATAATTCTTGTTAAGTATCTATATTTAATTAAAAAAAATTTCATTTTTATCTATATACTATATTACATTTTTATCTAAAATTTATATCTAAAACATTAAAAAATCGAATTAAGATTGCTAAATTAAAACACAAGGAGTATATCATTTTCGCAAATTTATAATTACCAGTTGAAGAATACCAAACCAAGTTCTAAAGTGAGCATTTTGGTGGGGAAGGTGATGTCTCTCATAGGTGATATATAGTCCAAATCTTGTTGGCTCCCAGCTAGTTGCTCTACTGAGGAACACCACATCTGATTAAAATGATTGGCCAGCCAGCTGATTCTATCCTCTTAGTATTTTAATTTGTAATTACTGATTCAATACTATTAAAAATTTGATACCAACAATAATTTTTTTTTAAATGGTTAAAATGAGAGCTAATTTAGGGGGTTTTTTTTTTTCATTTTTTTGGGGGGTGGGGGTGGGTTTGGAATGATAGTTATTTCTAAAAAGATGTAGTATATATTGGTACACATGAGTAAATATGCCTTTTTGTAAAGGTGATGTTCATATTCCCAAAAAAAAAGGAACCACAAACACAAAGGTTGTTTAACTTCACCTATAAGATGAACCACAAAAGCTAGTCCTTGTGCAACGTACGCTTGCATTTTAAAATAAGTGAATAGAGATTTGCAAAATGAGTCAGATATTTTTTTTTGTCGTGTAGATCTTTTTATTAGATACTTAGAGAAACATTATTTTCACAGATAATATTTTTGATTTATATCAATCATGGTTGTGCAGGGTCCCCCGTTAAATCTTGAAATCTACTAAAACGATGCCATGATCAAAATTAGCAAACAAAATCCCAAGAGAAATGGGATAAAAATGTACTACTATACTGGCAGCCTGGCACCCTGTTTGATGGTTCAATCTAATTTTTCTCTGCAGTGGTCCATGCAAGAACCCGGAATAATTTTGATGTGAAATCAATTTCAGCAATATGCAACATGTACTAGAGGAGATGGAAAATAGGGGACTCGCACTCTTTTTTTTTTCTTTTTTTTTTTTCTCTCTCAACCTTTATTTTTTTCATTCGCATGTCATGCGATTCGAATTTAGGATTTTTTAATTTCAGTGAAAAAAAATTATCATTGAATTATTAAGATTGTTGCCAAAGACTACTCTTAACTCCTCATTTTATTACTTACAGTTGCATGCTTTGCATTGTCTGAATAATTTGATGCAAGGTTACCTTAGACGCACCAAAATTTTCCCTGTTGCCACATGCCATAAAGATATACTAGATATGTTGAGGATCAAGTGCAAAGATGCCAAGACAGACATCTCCCCTGATATTTACTTTTTTCCCTCTCTACAAAATAAAAAGGTTTTTTGGTCTTAATTGGGTTTGATTATTCAAATGCAGTTGATAGATGACAGTAGGTTCTATATTTCATTGTTGATGGTTGTTATTTATAATATATACACTCTTATATTTGTCTAATTATGAAAATAAAAATGTAATAGTTGTTCTCTAAAAGCTAATCCAAACAAAGTTTATTGCTTTTTGAGTCTTTGGCTTTTCGCCTACAATTCCCAGTCTACTCACTTCCACTAGTTTGTTATAAACACTAATATATGCCAGACTCAAGCCATTTATAAGAAGTGAATTCAGACACACAGGGGGAGATGGGAGTGCAGAGTTGTCTGAGATATAATATATATATATATATATAAGAAGGTGGAAGAAGAGGCCATGGGGGGATCAGTATCACGAGAGGAGTCATAATTCATGAAGGAAGTGCCTTTATTGCCTGCGGGGCCATTAAACAATCCCTTCACAGCAATGAAAATAATAATGCCTTCGCAAAATTCCACACAGTCGCTTCATAATTAAGGTCGATGGGGAGTAGGGGTAGTAAAAACAAATGGGAAAACTACAAACTCTCCATTGTAAATCACGTGTGTGATCCAAAAAGAAAAAGAAGATATATTTAAGTTGTATAATTCATCATCAAATACAAATATAGGATATACATGTACAGAGAAGATAAATATACACGGTTTATTTATTGATGAATCCAATACAACAAGCTTGAGAAGGACCCAAAGACCTTCTCTGTATCTGTTAGGCCAAACTTAGGCCATGGAGGAGCTTTTCCCTCATGGTAGAAAAAAATAAAAAAATCAAAAGAAAACATCACTCTCAAAAGAGTTACGTATAGTTAGGCCAAGAGGTCAAGGATGGCCATTTCAAGAAAGAGGCATTCCCCGTCCAAAAAAGCACTCATAGACA